TCTAAGAAGTACTAAGAAGTTTCTTCTGTAAACTACTATCAGTTGTCCATACCCTACAACCCCACTGTTTTAGAAAAAAAGATCTATTTTTGTTTTTGGTTTATAAATCGCGAAAATCATAGAAGAAAGTGTGTTTAATTGACTATCATTAACATTGCCGACTGTATCAAAAAAATCTTCAAAATTTTTTAAATGAAATTGAATAGTTTTTCATCCTTACACCTATTCTTTTCGGGCTTTTACCAGTGAAATTATTCGTTGGTTAGTTTTTTTTTCAACTCTGTGTTTCAATATCTGAATCTCCGAGTCCAAAACTGACTTTTTAGGAATTCTGTTTTTAAAGCCTTCCGTAAAAGCTTAATTATAGCTTTGAATATCTCGTTTTTTGTGCAATTTTTTCATTGAGCATATCTTGTAGGTTTTTTAAAATATGCTTCTAACTGATTTCTCCGTTTTCTCAAAAAATTCTCAGAATTCGGTTTTGTTTTATTTCAAGTTTTCGAAGAGATGTTTTATTAGCTGTGCCGTACACTATAACCCCCTTATGAACTATTGGCTGAGTTTGATTGAAATAGGTGTTAATAAGTTCTGCTGTCGTCAGTACGTCACGTAATCGATTGAGCAACCCACAAAAATTATTCATTTTTTTGTTAAGAAATTTAATATGAAATTTGAGTTTCAATTTTGAGTGCATGTGAATGCCCAAATACTTAGTAGAGATTCCCTTTCAATATCATTGGTTCCTATTTTGATTTGTCTATTCTTGAGATTTTTTTCTTTCAAAAATTATGTTTATTGTTTTCTCTAGGTTCAGAGTAAGCTTATTGATTAGCAACCAATTTCCTATTTATGATAAATCTTCATTGTATTGGTGTAAGTTATGTTCTTTTTGCTTCACTGCTGTACATATGTATAAATATGTGTTCACTGAAATTGAAATCGTTAGTAAATCATTTATCATTAAAATGAACAGTAGTGACCCGAGCACTGATCACTGTGGAACTCATTTGAAAATACAATTGAAGTACAAGGCAAATAACGCTCTCGATAACAAGTTACCACATTAGCAAATTACATTGTAATAAGAAACAATTACGACTGGCGGAATAGACATCTGTCTGTTTGACCCATCTTTGTCTTTGGTTGGCTTTATGGAAAAAAGATCAATCATAATCCAATCTTAAAGTTCAAAGAGCTTCAACGTGTTCTATTTTGTTTTTTGTTCTCCGAGTAATGCTGTTTTTATTCTCTGTTTGTGTACTTGGATTGAATATAGTAACCGAAATTCTTTGTTCTGTCTGTAGTGTTTTAAAGTCAGGCCTAAGCATAAATCTTAGTCAACTGACTTTTGGAAAACTGACGATTAAGTCAAGGAAACCGAAAAAATTGTTCACCTTTAAAAACTTTTTTGGATCTTGTTAACTAGTCCCCCTTTGCAATAGGGCCAAATAGTTAACAAGATCCAAGTTTTTTGTTTCATCAAACGCGGAGAACAAAATACAACACGTTAAGACGAAAATTTTTTAAAAAAAGTGAGGCATGTTTTTCGGTTTCCTTGACTTAATTGTCAGTTTTCAAAAGCCTATTGGGTAAAATGACCTGATCTTATCTGAGCTGTTAGGTTGGCATCTTGTTTGCTTTTTACCTGCTGGCGGTCTTGTTTTTCGGAGTAGCCTGCGTAGGTGGCTTTGACTTCAAGCTGCGATTGCGGCTTATCCCGTAGTGTTCGTTTTACACATGCCAGGGCTGATGGTAGAGACGTCGGTTTTGGCTCTGTTGAGGTGTCTTCAAATGCTCTTTTTGCCTGTTTGTCATCAAGCTCATTTCCTATGACATCGAAGTGACCGGGGAGCCACTGACAGAAATTTCTTGTCTGTTCTTGTTTTTAGAAGGGCTGCGAGCAAAGCTGCCTTCTCTTCGTCATATGACGAGGTGATTGCTCTGCCACTTTTCTTAACAGGGTTAGATTTGGAAGGGAAGTTTGCTGGCTTTTGGAAGTTTTCAGAATTTTGTGCGCCGATCCATCGCTGTAGACAGTCATTGTCTGTTGATGGTTGTCGATTGTTTCTAATACTTTCTCCAGTGTAATTTCTCTTCCCTCACCAGCAATTGTATCCTCCACTTTCCAGTTGTTGTAGGTGGTTTTCCAGGGTTTACTGGGTTGTGCTCGGTTGGTTCTGCATTATTTTTTGTGGCACTTTACAGTTTGAAGCGGCACAAATAAGAGAGGGCGGGTTAAGCCTTAGCGGCTCTCGGCTTTTTTCACAAGTATCTCGCTTAGTCGTCCTGTACTCTTGGTGCGATGCTTGCGGTGTGTTGTCTGTTTGCATGTGCGCTGAACACTTTTATTTTAATGGTTGGCTTTGTACTTAGATATCCCGCTGCATTTTTGTTGCTCGTGCGTGACGTTGTACAAAATGCAACGAGTGAATGGGCGCCCTGTACCTGTGGTAACTCTACAGAAGTAGCATGAGGTCGTCCCCTTCAGAATTTTGATTGGGGTCTCCTGTTCGCCATGTAAAGGCCGTACCAAATGACCAGGATTGCTGTTGCCGGCAGCTTATAATATTTCTGATTCAATCTCATTTTTTTGGTTCACTTTTTCTTTACATAAACCTCTATAGTTCCTCAAAATAGCATACATGCCTTCTTTGCTGCCTAATATCGAAAAAACTATTTTTGGTAAACTAAAGGAAACCAAGACGACATCGTTAAGCGGTTTTGGTGTCCGAGTCTTGGACTGGTTTTCCGTGTTCAGTTTCCGTAGTGTCCGAGATGTATGTTTTTTTTGCACTTAGTATAGTGATAAGGCGTCCCTTTTGAAATCGTCAGATCGTGTATTCGATCCCATGCCATGGCAATGATAGCGTGTGAGGACGAGATCTCACTTGACCTCTAGCTTCAGGCCTACCACAGCCTGACCAGTTTCGGCTGCAATAGTGGTACCACGTGAAAGTTCTAGACGCAAAAAACGGCCTTGAGTCGCAAAAAAAGAGCTTCGCTTAACAAAATAACAGTCTTGAATGTGGGGAAATAATACAAATGGACTATCCTCGCCAGGACTCTTAAGGCCTACTGATAGCTCCTCTGTAATTCGCAGGAACCACATTATATTATTTTCTTTGAAGACATGTCTTTTTTTCAAAGTTCTGAAAGCCATGCTTCAGGCATAATTAATGGCGGAAATTTGTCTAATGTTGTAATAACGTGTACGTACATAACGGAGAGTAAAAGCGGTATCGCTTAACGCTCGAAAAAAATTGTTGTTTATAGAACGCCCTTTTTCTTGCAGGATTGTTTTTGGAAACGAGTGTGTTTCCTTCTTGTGTTGTTACTAAATACCTTGTTACATTGGTAAATTCTTGTATTGCAGAGCAAATTTTGATTTTGAGACCTCGTTTGCTCAAATTTGTGTTCAATTCTTTTGATCTAAGACAAGTGAAGCCTTTCTTCGGTTTTCTTGGATTTCTGGTCATTTTCATTATGGTCTGTTGGCTATGTTTCAGAATCAATTATAATAGATTCCTGAGCTTTAATATGATCACTTTTACCAGAGTAAGTGTTTTGTTATCGGGAACTAAATTTTCCTGGCAATTGTCTCTTCTTTTCTCTTCGGCCGGGCCTTATGAAAGTAATTGAAAAAAAATAATTTAGTTAAAATTTGATTTATCGGACATGCGTCTGTCTGCTCAAGTTTTTTCGGCCTAACTGCCATATCACGGATTTTGTTTGTGCTGTCAGCATTTTTCATTGTAGTTGCAAGTGCTAGTGTTGTTCATTCTGCTTTCATGGGGACTTGAAAAATTTATGAATTTTATTTTCATAAAAAAATTTTTCGCCTGAGCTGATGTCTGCTCAGATTGTCGGCTTAGTTGGCACATTACGCATTTTTTTTGTGTTGTAAGCAACTCTAAGTGTATTTTTAGGTTCCAATTTATTTTCATTGTAATTTCACGTGGGACTTGAAACTTTGAAGATTTTTTTTACGAAATCATATATTTTTGGCTCAAGATGTGTCTGCTCGACGGTTGTCGGCAAAGTTGTCTCCCCTTCGTAAATTTTTCCGTTGCTAATTAAGAGTAATGAACGCAGTGAAATTCTTCATTAGGTTTTGGTGATTTTTGTTTTTTTTTCAGGAAAAAGTATTAAAATGCTTGAATAACTACAGATGTTCATTCATGCATATTAATGCATCTATGAATGCATTTGGGTATATATGCACTCTTTGAATTCAATCGAATTCATCTGCTAAAAGATAGGTAAATAACCTCCAAATATCTCCAAATGCGAACGTGGAAATGGCGAAAAAAATGTGAACGACTTCTAGTTTGGAAAGTGAAATAAAAGTTTTACCTATTGATACTATTGACCTATTATCAAATACTCACAAAAACTCAAGTGTCTTTCAAAAAACCAGTTTTTTTTTTGTTCTCTTGCGTTCATTACTCTTTCCTAGCTGTCATTTGAATTCGAAACAACTTTATGAAAAATTTACCGTTTCATTGCCAATATTCAAATATTGATGAGACCTATATTTGAACAGGCACTGCTTGTGTTATAGTATTAACTATCTTTTTTTCCAACCTAAGTGGCAAATATTGTTGCCACGCAAATATTGTTGCGATAAAATGAGTTCATTTTGATCAATAACAGCTTTTAAGTACAGCCAATGCTAAGGATTTTCACACAGACTATTTTTTTCCGACGTTTGTAACGAAAGTAACGGAATATTTGTGCTCAGGGTGGTCTTTTTACTAGCCATTTTTGACGGGATTAATGCTGGATTAATTCTGTGATATTGAAAATACTTAATGCTTAAAGAAACAATCGAACGGCAATTTTAATCAAAAAATGCTTCAGAAAAATGGTAGATTTTTAAAAAACTTTTGATGCATAGTATTTTGACCCGAGCTGAAAAAAATTCGATCCGAAAATTTAGTGCCACTTCTACAGAAATTGGCTGGCATGTTGGAAAACTTTGATGTGTCTTTTTGTTTAAGCGAGGGAGCGAAAGATCACTTGAAGAAAGAATCGCCTAAAGCATTGAAGAAGGCATGTGTAAGTATATGTTCGTTGCGTGAGATTTTCTCAGCTCATGCACCATTTACCGTTATAATAATTGAATTAATGCGAACATTGGAGCTATGAACTTTTTGCCTGATCAGTTGTGCAATGTTTCGATATTCAAGATCTCGTCAAGTGCATGCTTCTCGTCAAGTGCATGCTTCTGAGCTATTTAGTGATGTTTTTCCACATTAAAATTAAATCAGAACTAGAAAAAATGTGCATAATAAAAATGGCTAATTTGTAACATGTGGAACCTGATCTAAACTACATTTTATTATTGGATAAATTAGATATTTTACCACTGTAAAATATTTAATATTAACCAATCATAATCCATCCAACTAACAACCCACTTATTTGTAAGTGCTGAAATTACTTATAATTTCAGCACCAGAGAGATTTGAATTTAACTTAGAAATTAGTTACCTCTCCAAATGAACTTCAGCAGTTACAATAAGCCAGTATACTCTAGATCTATTGAGCCTAGCAGAGACTAGTTAAACACCCTGAGACTAGTAGATATAAGAGTAAGATTAGGATCGGTATTAGACTAAGAAGTTGCACGAATCTATCCGGCCGAAAATAAGATAGCGTGACGAGCAGACGGAGTACCCTATCCGAAATTACTCTGAGTTAACCACATCAGTCCTAACTCATCTGGTGCGACCATAAGTCTCGAATAAGACCTTAATAGCTTAGATTTAACCAAATATAGATTAGAAATTACACAAAACATTTTCAAAATGTTACACGATTATAACTTAAATGAAATGTCTCTACGACTCAATAGATCAGAGCCAGTATTCCGAACAATACTAGAACTACCCGGTATTGGAAGAAGACCTCGGACAAGAGACGATATACGACTACGTAGAAACTTACGATTTAGTTTCATGGTTGTACGGCAAAAGCCAACACAAACTTTTATATTTAGAATCTTATTAGCAATGAATTTAGATTTTCATTTGCAAACATAAAACATTAAAGTAAATCTTCATGATTATTTCAGGCGCTAAACAAAATTATTAATATAAAATAACGATTGATAAAAAGATCTCAGATCGTTCCTTTAATTTCTGCAGTATTATATAAAACATATTTGAAAAATATTTTTTGAAATAAAAATAAAAATTAGTAGCATGACAATAAATAGTTAGTAACTATAAATCATAGTAGAAGTTTTTTAAATAAAACTAACCATTCAAATTAGGTTAAACAGTGAAGAACTTCGGTTTTTCCTCCTTCACTTGAACCCTCCTCTTACCAGACCCAGGATAGATCTTAGACTTAGTAAGTTTAAAATAGTATCTAACGAACTACTTGCGTTCTAATTATACATGAACCTTGTGGATCGATTTACTATTCTCCAACCCTTGAACACAATCACTACCCCACGAGCCACGAGAAAGTAAAAAATCATTCTCCGGAATCGATATACTTTTCTCTCCAACCCTGAATAAAAAGACCCAGGTTAAGCTAACCAAAAAATCGTAAGGACTAACAGTCTGGGAAAATAGAAAATCACTAATAACTTCTTGCATCCCTCATCCTAAACCTTATATCATTCAAAAAGTTAGGAATTGAACAAACAATCGTTTTACACAATTGTGAAATAGACAACCAAAAATACGATCTTGTAATAACTCCACATACACAAACAGTTGGATACATTCGAACAAAACGACAAAACAATTAGAAAAAATTTTATAAGCAAACAAAGACAAATTACATGAGCAATTATAAAAAAGCAATATAAACACAAACCAGTACACCTGTATAATTGGAATCAACCAATTAGACACATTGATAGTTGTATATTAACAGTTATCAAGCGAAAAAATGAGCCACACTCAAAGTGACGAAAGTCCAGATGAAGAAGCAGTTTTTCCCTTTCTTATAGATTCACTCGATGATAGAGGACAAACACGGTTTTGTAAGAACTTACTCGTAAATTTGTTTGAACCAGGAATCAGTCCATGCAAAGCAGAATTCCCGGATGTAAAAATCAAAAGACAAATTATAGAACATTATTTGAAAGACATGTAATCTAACACAACAGTACGGAATCTACACCATAGAATTCAGCACACCAAATACAGCCCATGGTAAAAATGTAATTCAAACAGAAGATATTGATTTAGAATTTTCAAAAGTATTCATAGAATATATCAAAAGCATACAGTATCAGTAGTATATGTTGGGGCAGTTCAAGGGGGGGCCTGCTGACCCCCATGTATTAACATAGGCTATAGAGTATCCGGTCAGCAGGCTATGTATTAAGATAGGCTATAGATTTTCCAATGTATTAGGATAGGGAATAGGTTTCCCAATGTATTAAGATACGAGGTTTCAGCTGGTAAGTTTCAGATGGTAAGTTTCAGAAAAATTTTTAGCCTATCTTACAGTGAAATTAGTCTGAAGACCCACATGTATTAAGATAGGGAATAGAGCATCCGGTCTGCAAGCTATGTATTAAGATTGGGTATAGAGTCTACAATGTATTAAGATAGGGAATACCGATGGTAAGGTTTCAGTGTGATGGGAAGAGAAAGAAAAACGAAAATTTTTTGGTTTTTGTTTATTTTTTTCGCAAAATTTTTGGCGCGCGTTATCTAATTGGGAACAATTAATTGTTAATTACGTGTAGAATTAAGGTTTTGTATATAGTTTTTTTGGTGCATGGTAAGTCAATGGAAGGAGTTTTTGTGCAAAAACTTGGAATTTTTATCAAATTAAAATTTTTTCGAAAAAATTCAAAACACGATAAGATTAGCTATTATTTGACCAAATTTATAAGATAATCCTACTTTCTATCTAAATGAAACAATAATCTTACTTTCTATCTAATTGAAACAATTCTGAAACCTGCAGAAACTTTGAAAAAATTCAAATTTTTTGCGAAAAAATTGCAAAAATTTCAAGTATTTGGAACAAACTGCAAATTTTTGGAAAAAATTGCAGAAATCTCATAATTTTGGTTAATGTATTGTTGTTTTTGATCTAATTTTAAACATTTTTTTACGTATTGATTTTCAAAATAAGCTAAGACTGTATTTTAATTGGCATTAAGTTGAGACAATGATACAAAATTTTAAATAAAAAAATGACTTTTTCCACAATTTTTTCTCAAAATATTGAAGAACAATGAAGTTTACCTTAATTTGAGCTAAATACTTGGTTATAAAAGCTCTAAACACTGAAAAGAAGGTTCATAGTAGCAGATTCAATATTGAAACTTCCGGAAAACAGTTGAATTAGTCGTATTTTTTGAGAAGGTAAAATGAAAATTAATCAAATTTACATGAAATTTTCCATTTCGATCCATTTATTTTAGTTTTTTAACTGTTTGTTTTTGTCCAGTTCAGGGATTATTTTTAGGAATCTCAATTCAAATGAACATTGAGGGGAATATACTATGAAATTTCTAAATCAAACTCCTTGATTCAACTCCTCCTCATTTTTTTCTCATTGAATTACCCAAATTTGTACAAAAATTACAACTTGTGAGAAATTTTTTATGTTAAAAATTAGAAATTTCAGATTATTGATAAAAAAATGAACAGTTTATTGCTAAAATTGTTTAAAATGGGATAAATGTTTCTTAATAATTTATTCGATATTGGCTCAAATTCAACAAAAACTTCTTCATAACTGATGATTATCTCTCTGTTGCTTCTGCAACATAACTTTCAAGATTTTCCGTAGAGTTTTTTCATGTTTTAAAGTTATTCTTGCTTTCTGTTTAATACATGTTTTCGCTATTGAACACACTTTACTAGAAAATTTAGTCAAAACTGGAGAATTTAGGAGGAAAATAGTATCAATTGAACGAACAATTTGCTGGCAGAGATGAAATTAGAACTGAAACCTTATGATTATTACAATAAAAATTATTAATATCTTCCTCAAGGTCCCCCTGTTCAGTTGCTATTGTAAGCTATTTAAGTAAAAATACACATTTTGGGATCAATAACTATCACTTTTCTTGCAAAATAGTTATTAATTCGCTTTTTTTCTTAATTTATGACGGAAATTTTCTCAAAAATATCCAAGTGAGAAAGAATTGGTGCTAGTTAAAGCATTCAAAAATATATGTACAAAATGAGAATATAAAGGTGTGTTTTTACGATCTAAGAACAAATTAGGAGTAGCTCTATTAGTTATAATCTGAAAATCTCCGGAAATACGCAAGAGAACCTAGTTCCTAACATCTACAATATAAAAACTTCTGAAAGAGCGAGTCTCAAAAAATTGATTTAGCAAAGCAAATCAAGGTGCAAACTGGAACAATTGTGTAATTTTCCGATTTTTATTAAGAAAAAATTCTATGTAGTAAAAATGTAGTAATGTATTGTATATAGTGTTGTATATTCTATGTAGTATTGTGTATGTAAGTAGCAAGGAAAAGTAGATCTTGAAAGCAAGTTTTCGATTTATGCTTTATGTATCTTCTTCCAAAAGATGTCGAATTGGGTTTGCTTCTCAAAAATTATCCTCAAAACATTTGATCTTTCATATAAAGTATCTATATATCAAATGATAACAATTTTTCCTAATGAATTACGCATAAATATAAGACTTTGAGAATTTTTATGTCGGATTTTTTCTCAAGATATACTTTATAAGCTAAATTTTAGTAAAATTACCTCAAATCTCCTAAGGAATAAATTGAGTTTCTAGCTCATTTTAGCATTTTCTCAGTTTCTGCTTCATCTACTATCTACCAAATGAATCCAATTTGAGCAAATTGTTACTTGAAAATTGAATTTTAGATGGAAAAATGTATCGTTTCAACGAACGTGCAATAATCCGAAGTTGAATTAATACCATAAATCCTTTACTAAAAAGCTTTAAAGGATTTTCTCAACCTCATAACTGTATTATGCTGTTTTAAATCTGAATTTCTATTTTAGACTAAACTTTTAGTTGGAATGAGGTATATCATTATCTTGAAACTTTCAAAGTTTAGCAAAATATACATTTTTCCAGTT